TACCGCTCAGCTTGGCTGTTTTCTTTGTTGTGGTTATTTGTCTGAAGTTTCGACCAATCTTCAGAGCTGAAAAGCCAGATCAAATCGAAAAGGTAAAGGGCTGATACTTAAGGATGCATCTGCTTGTCACAAACTTAGAAGCCTACTAAGGACGAAGATACACATGAATACCACGATATATATGTAATAAACTGTTTAGTTCTTCGCCTGTTAGGGGTGAGATATTCACGACGACGTCACGCATTCATAATTGCGCGTTAGTGCTATAAACTGCTTTCAAGGAAGCGTGCAGACTGATCACGCTTCTTATCTCAGGTACATCTGCTGTAACCCCTTTAAAATAAAAACAAACAAACAAATAAAAAATAGTATTCACAACTAAAGCTCCTAGATGTCGCGTCTAATAGGAAAAATTGGTACGTTATTGACAGCTGTTTTGCTATCACATTTACAGACAGAAATGTTGGTGCAAGGAGACTGGGTCGAGCTGGAAAGATCAGAGATTAAACTTGACGAAATGCTAGGTGAGGGTGCCTTTGGTGAAGTTTATAGGGGTGAGGTACAAATTGGTGGAGAAAAGAAGCCATGTGCAGTGAAGAAAGTTAAAGGTAAAATCGTGTTCATTGCATTACTTAACGTCTCCTAGTGTTAAATCCCAGACATTTAATATATTTAGTCCTCACAATAAAAGCAGTTTACAGTCATCATCATCATCATCATCATCATCATCATCATCATCATTATCATCATCATCATCATCATCATCATTATTATCGTCATCTATTCTATAGCAAAGGTAACCGTTGGCCAAAGATTATTACAAATTTATGAAATTGTCAATCTATGCTGTAGGCATGTCTTCCAGTATTTTCGTTCCTCATACGTTTATAAGACCTTCGTTCTAGGCCGGAATCCTTCTGTAAGCTCTGTAACACTTATGTCTTAAGCGGTGACAATTGTCCTTCTGTTCCCTACTGCAGAAAACGCAACAACGCTAGAAAAGCGAGACCTTTTGAATGAGCTTAAAATTATGGTCACAGTTGGTGAGCATTCAAATGTTGTGAGTCTCATTGGAGCCTGTACAAGGAATGGTGAGTAGTGGACATTTCTAGTAGTCATTTTAAAATTTGATTTTAGTAGAGGAGAATGGATTTCAATGAGATTTTTTTTTACCTTTGGTAGGATCTTTAAGGGTAAGGTTTACTTTGCAAGGCCCATTTAAACAGTTCTAATAATGTCTCCGCAACGCTGGGTGACATAGGAAGGGAATTTTAAATAAAAACAAACAAACAAAATAACGACTTCGCAGCGTCTTCTGTCCATCTATGTTGGATGAAGTTCGACCAGTTTGTTAGATCTCATGAACAGGCCTTGCGCTCAAGTCACAAGGCTTTTGGTTCTTGATGTAGAAGAGTTCTTTAAAGGGAAGGTCAGTGTTTCCAGGCTATCACCAAACAATGTATTTAAATGCAATTATTATATAATCACTTTTTTCTCCAGAGCCAATATTAGTGATCGTCCGACTGGCAGAAAATGGCTGCTTGTTGAGTCACCTTAGGAAAACTCGAGAACGTCAATACATCAATTTTAAAGTAGAGAGCGCCGTGCATTTCACGCCCGTCGATAAAATCACGATTGCTAGAGATGTGGCCAATGGAATGTGGCACCTGTCAAACAAAAAAGTAAAATATATATATATATATTTTTGTATTTTACATTTCCCTTAACACCCCTTTTTATGCAAACTATACATGGTTTCGCATCCGTCATCATCATCACTATCATCATCATCATTATCATCATTATCGTCGTCATCATCATCATCATAAGCAGCATCAGCATCAGCATTAGCGTTATCATCATCAGTTATATAATGGTCATCATTAGATAATAAGATTTGTCGACCCCATTCTTTATAAGTTAATTAAAGGCTATTTGAATTCGTTTTGTTTCAGTGTGTGCACCGTGACCTTGCGGCCCGGAACGTGTTGCTCGGCAAGAATAACGTTGCCATGGTTTCTGATTTTGGTCTGTCGCGTGATGTGTATGAAAGTGGCGAATACGAAAACACATCTGGGGTAGGATTAAATAACTATTATTAATGGCGCTTAAGTCGATTGCTATCGTCTACCAGCTCCTCAGCTTCATTCATCGTTTACTTTCTGCTTCTTATGACTTTTACTTAAAGGGAATACTACCTGTTCGATGGATGGCGATCGAGTCTCTAGAGGATTACATCTACACTACCCAGACTGACGCGTAAGTTATCCTGATTTTCAATCTTACAGTCATCGTTTAAACTTCCTGGCATCCGTCTGTCTAGGTAAAAAATGGAATCAGTGCCACTGTTTAGTCAGTGGTTGAGTAGCAGACCCTGCTGTGGCTGTACAGTCCCATTCCAGATCGGCAGGCTGTGTTGCAGGTTAATGTTCCGTGCTTAGCTCTGTGGGTATTGATGCTGCCCTCAGCCGTCTGCGCTCTCTCCTTTCTTCCCACTGCTCCCTTTTCCTCTCCTAACAAGCCTGACTGTCTGCCTTGACAGCAAGCCTCCAGTGACTTCGATCTGCAGCTACTGCTTCCCAACCTGCAAGGTTGATATTGCCTGCCTCGATCAGATCTCGTTGACAAACATCTTTGCAACGAAGGGTAGGCCTTCCTGTAGGTCTAGTTCCAGTTGCAAGCTCACCGTAGAGTATGCCCTTAGGAATTCTCCCGTCCCGTCCCGTCCCGTCCCAATTAAGCCGTCTCTGACGAACGAGGTCAACATACTAGGTACTCCCACCTGTGCTAGGTCATCCTTGTTTGTGACTCAGTCTTGCCAGCTGATGCTTAAAATCCTTCTGAGGCAGTGCAGGTGGAGGGCGTTGAGTCTGCGTTCTTGGTGGCCGGAGTAGAGGGTCCAGGTCTCTCTACAGTAGAGCAGCTTGCTGAGCACGCAAGCCTGGTTTACCTTAACATGGTAGTGCTGCTGCTTTGCCAATACGTTTGTGTTGTTCAGTGTTTAGAGAGATCAGAGGTTATTTGAACTTGAAAATGCAACAAATGTAAACTGTATGCATACCCATTGCTCAATGACAACTTTTGGCATCTTTCCTGCAAAGTTCATGTTTTGTCTTGTCTTGTAATGTACAGTGTATATCGGGTACGCAGGCTTTTTAATTTCCGCGTATGTAACCGCGTTTTGGTGAGCTAATGTCCTGGAGTCGAATCACCGCTCTCGAAGCTATGCTTTCTACACGTAGTTTTCAAATACTACAGGAACTTGCAGAAACACGAAATAAAATAATAATCAAAAGGCATTGAGTTAATTTAGACAGAGGTTGTGTTTAGCCTTTGGACTTTTGCGTCTAATTTCTGCGGGTCGTTTTGTTTCTTTTGCCACATTTTTGCTCCTATAAATATTAATCTACACCGTTCAATTATTTCACAGTTGAAATAAGTCTTGATTAAAGTTTATGGACTGATCTGTAATCCTGAGTTGCAGTGTCCATAAACAATTTTAGTGAATATTACATATCCCAACCTCTCTGTCCCATAATTTTCTGTCGGCGATAATCAGTAATTCTGCCTCGTTATGTCGGTAGTCAGTTATGTATTTTCCCGCTACTTGTCGTTAGTCGGTAAGATCCATTCAGACCCTCCTTCAACGTTTACTTAGTATACAGACTGAAATTCTTCTGATTTGGAAGTTTCGAAAATCATTTCAAAGAATGTGTGTTAATCTGTATTGCTTGACAAGTTTCGCGGCTAGTGGGCGCTCTTTACAGAGCTCTTTACAGAGCAATAGACTTATATTTTATATTTTTCTTTCATTTATTGATACCCTTGTACTTCCTTCATTATGACAATTAAGTATTATGTACCAGTGAATCCCCTTCAGATTGCAGCGTAAATCCCCCAAGTTCCCAGTGGTTATGGAAAATGACTTAAGATATATGTTACAGTGCATAAAACGGACAACCAACTGAACAAATTCAAGAGCCCAGATTTCAAGTGACGGACATGATCGAATGGAGAGAAAAATCCAACCTCCCCCCCCTCCGCCAAGAAAAAAAATCCGACCAAAAAATGACATAACACGTTGTACTTTATTCGCAGATCTACACGCCCGGGATACGCAGGCACTACCACGAAACTTCAGATTGTTTTGCTTACCAGAACAATCCCTACTTAAGTCGAGCGTCCCCCCCTCCCCCCGCCCCCCGCCCCCCGCCCCGACAAAGAAACATGCGCAATTTGCCTACCCCAAAAAATCCCAAGGTCAAAAATTTCGAACCAATCCAAATTCCTCGTTCATCCCTGTCTCCTGAAATCCGGAGTACCCCGTCCCTCCTGGGACAGAAATACACCGACCTGAATACAATATTGTCTGTTACTCAAAGTGCTTTATTTTCACATATTTTTTGTCCTCTCCATATAGCAGTAGTGTGTCTAGCTGTTCTTTGAATTGTGCGCAATAAAGAAGCTATAGAACCAAGCAAATAGCCCACCTTTATTACAATTTTAAAGTGTAAAATCTCTGGAAGACGTCTTGTCATCTCTTTGGAGCGTTATTAAAAGTTTTCCAAAGGATTCATACTGGTGAAGATGTGTGGCCTGTCACCTCTTGCACTTTGGGCTCCGCAGCCTTGTACTGGC